CTAGGTTTTCACAGCCCATCACGTTTCACCCTTAGCGATCTCCGCCTGGAGGTAGGAGTGTCTTGCACCTCTGTCCACGCCGCGGCAGCAGACGCAGGCGGTGCTTCCGACAAATGCTTGGAATATTTCGTAGAATAGGAACTCAGACACGTGGGGCGGAGGTGCGGCACATGGACAGTAGGAACGAGATCAGAGCGTTTCCGGGCGTGAGTGGGATCGGCTCAAGCCGAGACGAGGCAGGATCCTTCTCCGAGTATAGTGGATTAAGTATTTCCACTCCTACCTACTATTGTAAACCGCATATGTTAAAATTTATTTGATATTTTATATTAACAATTATATAAACAATCGTTTATTTTCGGTTTTTTTTGCTAAGCTGAATAGTGGGATAATTAGTCGTGAATTCGACCACTTGACTTTACGGTTCGAGATGATTCTAATGACTTCAGGTACTGTTAGATATCGTTATTAATAGCATAGAAAAAAAATTCACAGGTATTCAGTTATCAAAATAAGCAGAAATAGGCGCGTATCGAGAAGAGCTGGATTTGAGGAGTCCGTCGCAGGCTGAGAGGCATCAAAGTCGAAGCTGCGGTCGCGCCCCCCGGAGACTCACATCCGCTGTGCGCCTCCCCTCCCGGAAACTACCGCCCTCCCTCTTCCCCTCCCTGCCCGCACTGTTCGGGCGGGCGGACGGAGGGGTGGGTGGTGGGTTTGGCGGGGGGGGGCGGTACGGACGACGGTCGAGGTGGGCGACCGGCGGATTGAGAAAACCTGGGACGGCGCCGAACTGACGCGAACTGACCGGCCGAACTGAGGCGCCGAACTGGGCGCAACTGACGGCGAACTGACGGCCGAACTGACGGACGGACGGACGGACGGACGGACGGGCGGACGGGACGGGCCGGTCGGACGAATGCGTGTGTACGCGCGCGGGACGGTAGGCGGGGACGGCGGCACGGCTACACGCGGAGCGGTGACGGACGGGCCGGACGGACGGGCGGACGGACGGCGCGGAACGAACGAACGGATGTCGGGCGGACTGTCGGGCGGGGGCGACGGGCGGATTGTCGGGGGGAGCGGAGCGGGTACGCAGGCCGATAGGCGGTATTGGGTGACGGGCGGAGGGGTAGGCAGGCGGACCGGGCGGCCGAACGTTACAGCAGGAGCGGCGGTGGCCGGCGGCGGAGGCGGCGGGGCGCGCGAAATAGCCGCGGCAAATTATAGTGGTCGCGGGGGCGCAGGGCGCGGCGCAGCGCAAGGGCGGGGGGGGGCGTTGGGCAGCGGAGGAGCGGGCGCGGAGGGTTACCTGAGCCGTGGGCGGGCGGGGCGGACGCGACGGCAGGAACGAGCCATGACGCAAGGGATTGGTGCCGGGAAGAGAGAGACAAGGGGGCGCGTTGGGAGGCGGGTACGGGAACGGGGTCGGACGCCGAAGACGGGACAAGGGACCGGCAGCGGAGAAGCGAGACCAGCAATTGGTGTAAGTAGGAAGAGAGAAATTGAGCGGGGAGGTGCGGGGAGCGTGGGTTGGGTGAAGGCCTGAGCTGAACGAAGAACGGAGTGGGTGTGGACGACGGATGGGACGAAGGCAACTGTTGGCGGTCAGGCGCCGGGTGGGGGTGGGAGCGTAAAGACCGTGTTAGAACGGGGTGGGCGGAGGTAGGCGCTGAATACAGAGAAAGGGACGAAACTGGAGAGTGTGGAAGTGTCGGTGCGCATGAAGCAGTGGTAGACGGGGCAGGATAGCGCGAGCGAGGCGGGAAGGGACGTGTCTGGGGCGAGAGCGGGGTGGAGGAGTGGGAGGGATCGAGGCGGGGATGGCGGCGAGCGGAGTGCGTAGAGACGGGGACGGGAGCGGGTGTGCGAGTGGGAGGGATCGAGGCGGGGATGCGGCGAGCGGGAGTGCGTAGAGACGGGGACGGGAGCGGGGTTGAGTGGGAGGTCGAGGCGGGGATGCGGCGAGCGGGGAGTGCGTAGAGACGGGGTGTGAGTGAGATGGAGGCGGGAGGTAGGCAAGGCGCCGGTGAAGAGGGGGCGGCGGCGGCGGAGGCGGATGAGAGAAGCGGAGAGATGCGCGCAGAGGCGCGACGGGTGGCGGGCGAGAGCGTGGCTGGTCGGGCGAAGGAGAGCGCGAGGCGTGGGCGGGGTGGGCGCGGGCGCCCCCGAAGGCCTCCGAGGCTCTATTTAGGCGCCGCGCTGACGCGCGCCTGCGGCCCCGACAGCAATAACAAACGCCCCCGCCCGCGCCGCGCCGCGCGCCGCGCCCGCCCCTCCTGCTATCTCCCCGAAAGACGCGCACCTTGCTCTCGGCACGAGCTGCGGGATGGCTGCGGAGGCTGAGGAGTGCGCAGCGTATCGCATTTGCCGATTTCTTGCGATTTCCAATCAGAGTTGCCGCGAAGTCGTGAGGAAACCCACTCACTACGCTAAAAATGTCTATTTCGTTTTCAACTATTTTGTCATTTTAAAACTAATGATCTAAACTTCATTCTAATTTTTCTAACTGGTATAATTTAAAGGGCTGTGGGAGAAACGTTTAAATCAACATAATACACACAGAAAAAAAGAACCGTTAGAGTATACCGGATAAATAATACTGTAACAAGTTTCCTTGTTACAGTATCATGGTTTTGGTATACTTCAAGGGTTCGTTTTTTCGGTGGTTCATTAATTGTTAGCGGAGATATACAGATCAATTGAGGATCAAGGAAATTAGTCAAAGTTTACCCTCTCGTCTAGGACGGACGTGGAAGGAATAATTTTAAATGGGAAAATGGTTGTTTGGAAAGCATCGCGGTATGCTCAACTCGTATGACTCGAAATTAAATCTTTTGACTTCTCACTAACCACCTACTTTTCTAGAAAAATCATATTTTGAAAAATATACGTCACGGATACTATTGCTATTTACGGTGTTTTCAAATGTATGAGTAATAAATTATTTAATTATCTGTTGCTGTAAAAGTAAATACCGAACGCGTTGAGCTGTAGACTAAAAAATAGCTTTGACGCTGATTCTGACGAGTGATGAATCACAGGGAATGACAGTCGTAGCCAGCAAAAAACGTGGGCCTTAGGCAGACATGAACAGAAAGGACAAATTCCAGACCGGGAGCTGACAGGCTACCTTCCACGTGGCTTAGGATTGCAACTGTTAAAATATAATCTTGCAGATGAGTGGAGGACCTTGTCTTTTACTGGTGTGAACTCGGTCTTAATTTCCAACCTTTTTATTTGTAATATACAACTTTTGCATTTATTTTGTAAAATGGGTATTTGACAAGATATTAAAATGCATATAATATGTTATATTATTCTCCCAAATGCAAAAGAGCTTAGATCCTGGAATGTAAAGCCAGAGAAATGTGTTCATAAATCGGATTCATGTAAATTATAATTTGCCACTCCCACTCTTAACAATCATAATTTTACACCTGAATTGTCCATACTTTTAAAATGAAGTAGATGACAGTAACAGTCACTTTTGTGACATATTAATCACAAAATTACTATTTTAGAAGCTTTTTACCTCTACTTGGCTATTTTCCTCTTGTTTTGCGTCAGAGTAGAAAACTGATTAGATTCCTTAAAAATGTGTGAAGCTTTTTACTCATAATTAACAATAGTATACTTTTGAGTTAGGGAAAATGAAATTTCAGTTAATAATTAAAAAAACGTATACACATAAAAAACATACATATTGACTTTAATAAGTATCTTGTAATATTAACACACAATAATTATTTACGTAACTAGAACAGAAAATGGGACTTTGAAGCCAAAATGAAATGCTGAAGAATCTGGCAATGGCAGAAACATAGTCTATCATTTTGAAATGTGTATGCCAAACACCCCTCATACGAGACTACATTATAATTTCTGTGAATTCAGGGAAAATTACAAATACACTCTTAGGAGCATTCACAATATGTGAGATATCCTTCATATTCATTTAGTCTGTCGCTTCGGTGTTTTTTCTTATTTGACCACGACTTTCGGTTGACGCAAGTTAGCAGTATTTTCCATGCTCGCGTGATAAAAAATATTTCCATGATATTCCATAAACAAATTATTTTTTAAAAAATAACCAAACGACATAAAATTAACGTTGTGTTTTAAATTAAACCCGTAATCGCTATTTGTTACTTCTTCGAAGACAGTAAAATTCGCCAGGCGAATGCCCGCGGTTCAAGGGGAAGAGCATGCCTGTCAACCCCTCTCCATCCCCGTCCCGCCCGCGTCCCCCGAGTCGTCCCGTCCCGCCGCCTCCAACGCCGCCGCCTGCAGCGCTGCTGCTACCTGTTCCAGATGCACGGCTACGACCTGCACGGGCCGCCGCCGCCGCCGCACGAGCTGGGCCCGCCGCCGCCCGCGGACATGGCGCACCCGGACTCCACCGACTCCTACGTCACGTACCTCGAGAGCGACGACAGCCTGCACCACGACGGAGGCAGCCCCTAACGGCCCGCCGCCGCCTTCGCCACACACGCCCCCGCCACCCCGCCGGGCCGCCGCGCCCGTGCGTCCGGCCCGCCAAGCGAGGACGCCGCCGGCCGCCTCACCGCCGCCGCCCTGTCGCCGTTGCCCGTGGAGGCGACGGGGCGCGCGGGCACACCACCTCCCAAATGTGGGGCGTGCCCTGCCGCACATGCCGCCGCCGTTGCTTGGGAAACGGGCCCCTGGCCTGACTCCCCATCTAGTGGCCGCTGCCTGAGCGCGAACCCGGGCTGGTTCCCACGCACACCGCCGTCGCTGTTGCCGTTGCGTGGGCGGTGAGGCAGGCCAGCAACTCAACCGAACCTGAGGCTTGACCAGCAATTGGGACGCGAACTCAGCCCCGCTGAAACGCCGCCTCCGCTGTTGCTGTCGTGTGGGCACGCCCCCTCCCCCCACGGAGCCCAGCAGCTCGACTCACTGTTCGGTGGCACCCGCCCGATCAGGAACCTGGGCCAACTGTCACCCCCGTCGCTGTTGCCGTGGCGAAGGAGGCGGGCCGGATGCTGGTAGCGGTGTTTCCACCGCGCCCCGTGTCCTGCGCCCTGATAGTATCCAACCACTGCAACTGGCGGCTTCAGCACGCCCGGCAACTATTACCGTTGCGAACTTGGTGTACGCGGAGGGTCTCGTATTCACCGCTCATCGGCGCCTCTCACCTCGACCCACCATCTGCCGGCCCCCGCGAGGCGAGAACTCGGGCCAACGGGCACCCACACCGCCGCCGCAGTTCTCGTTCCGTGGGCGGGGCAACGCTGAAAGCGGCGTATCCAGCGACCTGCGCTGCCCAGCAGGCGGCGCCGGTGCACGAACCCGAGCCGGCTGCCCCGCACGACGACGTGGCGTGAGCAGCGTGATCACAGCGGCAAGGACGACGGCACATCCATCACCCTGCGGTGTCCGGCGTCCCGGCGTCCCCACACGCCCCGCTCCAGTGTCAACCCGGAACGGCTGCCACCCACCCACGCTGCCGCTGTTGCGGTTTTGTGGGCGGCGGGGGGGGGCGAAAGTACTTTGGTGACAAACAGCTAAAGCATGTGGATAAATGGAACACCTGTGAAATGTGTTGTGTAATGGGTTGTGATTCTGAAAGTTGTAGCACGTGTGAAGGTGGTCGTGTTAAGTGAACTTATCCCCCCCCCTAAAATCACAAATTTGATACGTCCAAATTGAATTATTTGGCTCGCGAATGTTCAAATCGACAGCTGAGCAATGGTATTTGACCTGTGGCAATTAATTTTGTTGTGAAACACTCTTGACTCCAGCTACCGCAAAATTTAACAAAGGTATTATACCCCAAAATACAGATATGGCTTAACTTAACTCACATCCTTCGCATAACTACTACAAAATTAAAGCGTAGGCTTAAGAACCAACTTGACTGTCCTAAGCATTTCTCCTTCAGAAAGGTAGCAGCATGACGTCCGAAACGTTGGCAACTGTGCCCAGGACACGGCGTCTCCCGGACAGCCAAGTAGTTACGAGTTAATCCCTTCTACTTAATTCAATACGTGCATTTCCCACGTGTATCCAAGCGCTTTAGCTGTTCGTCATAGACAACCTGTTGGCCGCTGGAAGTGACATTCGCCCGGCGTTCCACCTCCACCCCCGGCGCCGCCCGGGGCGACCGTCGCGTGGGCGACGTCGGGTCGCCAACCGCCCTGCCGGGGAGCGAACCCCAACCGGCGACGGCGGCGGTGGCGGCCGCCCAATCCAGCGCCGGGGCGCGCGCCCCGCGCTTTGTACAGCACTCTTACGACGTTTAAATTAAAGTTATACACAACGGAGATATACCAAAGACCACGCTACACCGGCGTTTCATTCACCCGTCCCTCACACAAAGAGTCCGATCCCTTCAGAGCTCCTCTAGGGTTGGTGGAAGAACCAAAGCACGGCGTCGTGGGAGGAAATATGGCGATGCCGTCCGGCCAATGAGACACCTCGCCTACTCGCTCCGGCTCCTGCCTATTGGCTCTGAAATCCGAAGGCTTTTGCATTCGTTTCGCTAGGAATGCGCTATTTACACAACGCTGGAATTGGTTGCTAATACTCCCATCGCCTACTTGGTTTTTATTGTCTTAAATACTAGTACGTTATTTTATTCACATATTTCCTACACAAACTATCATTTGTTGCCAATATTTATTGTTACATAAGCAATAATATTTTGATTAAATTACTAGCTTGCGTAGGACACGTGACTCATTGGCGTGTTATGGCTGAAGGACTTCATTGCGGGTCGCCAGTTTCTTTCCACGACGCGCGATGCGAAAACAACGCAACTGCCCTTTCGACATCCCGTTAATGTTGTACGTTCTAAATCGAAGCAATTCCGAGAAAGGTGGGTATTTCGATAAGTTAAACGTATTTAATGTGCTACATATCTAATCGACGTGTTTCGGTTCAACTCAATGTGAAACAAACATTATGATTACTTTGTGCGTAAAGTGTTAGAGATTGTTCAAAATGTAATATATTTTGCGTCTGTTGTTGATGGTGCCGTGATATCCCCACTCATTCGGGATATACTTCTTCAGTCATTGATTTGTTGGTGCTATATTGAGAAATGAAACAAGATGTGTAGATTCTTGATAGTTTGAACTTTGATTTAATGTTAGGTATTTTATTTATAATTACAAACTATTGTTTATATGAAAACCAGAAATCGTAGCCAAACGTTTATCTAAAACAATTACTTGTAACCGACTCCTGCGATGTTCAGGTGTCGTTTTACGTACTGAATTATACTTACATTTCCAAGGATACAAGTGTCCTTTAATCGTACAATGCACTGCGCGTGGGGTTTCAACTAAAATTGGAAGAAATAATTACTGGAAACATTCTTTAAACAATAAAAGTGATATTTACTATAAAGTGTTTAGTGAGTACATTTGTCTTCCCCTAGAGGAAAACCTTGTGCAAGAGGAGGCACAACCTTCCCGTTCAAGCTAATGGTGAAATTAATATTAAAATTTACTTTTTATTTCATTTTCGTATGTTAAGTAGCTTTTTCATGATCCTCTTTTCAAGTATTATTTCTTCCTCTTGTGGAAAAAAATTGCCAGTTTCTTGCCTGAAGGTGTGGCTCCCTCAACCCATGCGTTGATCCCTCGCCTTCCTTAAAACTTCTCAAGCCTCCCCTTCTTCTCAACTTCTTCTTCTTCTTCTTCCTCCTTAGTATTCAAGATCGTCCGTTCCCGCACCACGACTCCGGCTCCGCCTTCCACTTCGAATTCTCCTTTTCAGATGTGTTCTTCTTTCTCGCCTGGTCCTCCGGGAGGAAGCGAGACAAAAAGAGCGGTCCCTTCTTGGAGATCTCGGGATCACCTGTTCACGCTGGTCGGAATAAACCCACCTCGCAGCAGCGTATTCAAAATCTTGAAGGAAAGTCTAGCAGCGCAGAGGTTCTCAGGCCTATAAAGGTTTTTACACAACACACACACACGAATAAATTTAATATATCTCCACGATGAAATGTTCCTAAATGACTGTTTTTTTTAACAAAATTATATACAAAAATGAAATTTACCAAGTAAATAAGCGCAGGAAAAATATTAACTTTTCAGTTAAGTATTACTTTTTTCCAAAAATGTCCCTCATATAAATTTGTTCACAATCCATCTACAATGAGTCTATTGCAAGTGCGCGTATTGCAGTTAGAGAACCCTTGACCTATCTGCTGTGTTCCTTTGAGAACCCCTGAAGCATTCGCTACACGTGTCTAAATCACAATCTGAGTTCAACTCAGAATAATGATAACTCACCTGTCTCAAACCAATGGAAGATCATTCTCTTGAAATATTAGTTCTAGAAAAGTGGAGTAGAATTATAAATATTTTAAGATATCCTGTGACACTTTTAACACCTACATTCCTTTTTAATCGAATTCGTTTTTATACAAAACTTATTGCTTACCTGCAGTTAGTTTTATCACTAACTACTAACTACACAGCAAGTTTTTCTGAAATTCAAAGTTCGTTGGTTTAGTTTACATGTTATGAAGCCTTCTATGTACTTTCTTCATTTTAATCATAATTGTTAATTGCGTTAATATATTCAAATTTCAGTTGAGTTAACATCAATCAAACTGGAAATCAGTTATATTTTTAAACTCACATAAAATATTTCAACGGAATTGTTCAATATTCCTAATCAATTGTAATTGAACTACGATAATAGAAAAAAAGGTCAAAAAATTGCATTGGTTAAAATAATATTAATTTATTTTTTATACAGGTTTTCAACATACATAAATGAAGTAGCATTGTTGTACACAAAGTTTAAAATGCACAGTTCAATTTAAAATATACTGTGATCTAATTAGTAGTGTTGTTCAACATTTGCATTACGTGATGCACTAATTTGGATATGTTATCACAATTAATAGATAGCGACCACTTATATAGCAGAAAGATGTTTACCTGTCAGACAACATTTCTTGTAGTCTGAGCTTCGTCATTCTAGGATGTGCATCTCTTTTGTGAACGTAAATCTTTTGTTAATTAATTTACCAAGCATGTCTGTTACGAGTACATAAATAATTTCTGAAGATTCCTGAAGACTTTGGCATTTAACAATTTACAAAATTATCGTGAAACATTTCTTGATACCACTCAAAATTAGAAAATTGACCCCAATAAGTTTGAAAATGCTGTGACAAGTATCGGCATTTATTCCTCTATACTTTCAAAACCACTTGGTGAATACAACTTATCAACTCCTACATGCCTTATGTGCATACGTCAGAGACAAAATTAAAAGCTACATGTTTTTACGATGTAAAAAGGCCTAATCTTACCTTTATTAGTCACGCCAGAACTAACTGTACATCTCTTTACCTAAAACGCGGAAAATTGGATAAAAATATCTTATCTATGAAGGCGTCTGCGAAATACACAGTTCACACACGGTAACCTTTGATGTTTTCAGGAAACCTGCTCGCGTTTCCGTGTTCTGTGAAATGGTCGCGTTTCGCGATTGGCAAGAGCCATCTTATCGCTGTCTAGAATGGTTGAACTGGCATTTGTAAGATTTGACCAAAAACCTCCACTTTCTATTAACTTTTTTCAGGCAATATCAGAGGGTGTTAAAGTTTATCATAAGGATAATTTCACAAAGTTACTGAGTAATTGCACGTAGATTTTAAAATCTTCCTCACGATTTCTCTGAAAAAAAAAAAAAAAAAAACTAATTTTTCTTGAAAATATCTACTGCAAACATTTATTTTCGTTGAGAAGATTAGTAATAACTAGTCGTTAAATACGTTAGAGAGGATGCATTTAAATTCACCTGCTCTGGTAAGAACGAGAGAACCGGAAACATATAGACCAAAATACAACCGTCTTTCATAAATTAACATTTCAGAGCTACCTTTTAACATTAACATTTTAGTTCACATAAATGAATTATAAATTCGATATTTGAAGTCAACGTCTCTTTCTTTAGGAATTTTTTATTCTGTAGATGCAAAATATCAGTGGTCATTGAAAAAGTCCCATTACCACCCATTGTACTCACAACTATGACAACTTCAGCATTTTCGTAAACTGCATAAAAAAAGAGCCAGATTTTCCTGCTACACCATTTCTTTTTTAAATTGTAAAAATAGCAAATAGAGACGCAAGCTGCTCATATGAATTTTTCTTTAAAACATCAGAGAAGATGTATAACTACAAACAACTGATTGAGGTAATTGTTAATGACTCAGAAGAGCATATTTTAATTAATGATATATACATATTTCTTATTTGCTTTATATATTTTACACTCACATTCTGAAAGTTTGTTTCTACTTTAGAGAGCTCTTAAATCAGCATTCAAAGAATAGGGCCTAAATATAATGCAAATT